CGGTGTTGCGCCCGCACCACACTCAGCCAGTGAGCGGGAACCGGTCTCCACATGGGATCCGAACCCTCGGCGGGAGCGCCGCCACACTCCCAAGCGGTGCACTCTCCAGTGCGCCACCGGGCCGGCCCCCCAGTTCATTTTTCAAATGCAACTCAGTCACCACTCCTTCTAGGGACTCTTCTCACCACGTCTGATTTATTTGACCATCCTCTTAGTCCCTAATGTCTCTGGCCATGCCTTGGGCATAGTCACTACTCACCACGCATTACTGTACTGTACTGTAAATACCTGTGGGCCTCCTCTACCAGACACTAAGCTCCTGGAAGGTGGCTCAGGCTGTCTTGTAAGACGTGAGTGCCTGGCACATCCAGTGCATCCCATTAATATCATTGAATGGATAAATGAATGCCTGCAGGAGTGAACAAGTTGCCTTCAAGAAAAAAACGAGATCAAACTTCAGTTGAAATAAAAACCTCATCCACTTGGGTTCTTGTACTCCACGAATTAATGATAAATTATTTAGCAGCTAAAGTTTATCTTAATTTAACAAACCTCTTCCTCTATGGGTATGCCAATTAACAGCGTAAGGCCACAGGAGCAGTGTTTAAGATCTATGAGAACAAACTGTTTTCGAGCACCCTAAAGAACTCCAGAAGCACCTATTTACATAGAAATAATTGAAAATCATTCTGATAGCTTCAATAACTTAGTCCCCTAAGACTTGTAGCAGGCAACAATTTGTTAGCCTAGTTGGAGTTAAAATATGTACTTGAAAGTAATAAAAGTACATTTATTTTAAAATATTCTATAATTCAGATGGGCCTCTCCTCCCCCGTCCTGCAATTAGCAGGAATTAGTGAAGCTTCACCATACTTCCAGCTATGAATAGCATACCCAGGAAGCCAAGGTTCACCTATAATCTCTTAATTAGACGCATCCCTCATGATGCTGCCGTCCATCCTTCAAAAGAATGTTGACAGCCTGTCAGCCACAAAGGACAGCGCCAGAGTCCAATGCCTAGAATCATATGGATTTCCTATGAAAATTGCTTCAGCAGCAGCAGTTAGTCAATTTAATAACCTTATTAAACACTTTAATGACTTTTGAGGCCTAATGACTATATCTAGTATGAAAGAAAAAGTCAGGCAGAGCAGTATTAAAAATTTAAACTAACTGATCTTGCTGTTCTCCATGTGAAAACAGGCTTCTGAAGAAAGACCACTAGACTCTTTGAAAATCTAATTCCTGTGTTCACCTAAAATAATCACTCTTTGATTTCAGTGTACCCTCTCTCCCCACCTCCACCCCATGTTCAACCTTTATCCATTTCTACTTTTTTTTTTCTTAGCCCTGATATGAGATGAAATGAATAACAACAACAGCTATATCGTGCAGGACACCAACATGTGCCAGGCACTGCACTGTTTCACACGTGTTTTCCTTTAGTCTTTGCAACAATCCTTGGAGCTGTAATATTATCAGCCCATTTACAGATAAGAAAAATGAAGCTTCTAAAGTTTAAGCAACTGACTCAAAGTCAAATGACCAGCAAGGCTGAGCTACATGACAAATCAGGTCTGCCTTTCCCAAAGCCTATACTCTCAAACGTGTTCTAAGTGGTTCTTTTGGCAATACAAGTAGAAAATATCAGGCAATTTCCAATTCCACTGCATTATTCTGGAGGGAAAAAATTATCTGCTCTGTTGTTAGCTAAAATACCAGTTCAAACAACATGCTCTTCTGAGACTCTGTCCTCCTAGGCTCTCAAAGCTTTGCGTCTCATTTTTGTATTTCTAACAAGCACAACACTAGCACATAGTAAATGCTTATTAAATGTCTGAGAATTAACCAATTGATTACAAAGAAGTTTTGTTGTGTGATTTTTTGTTTTTTACCCCAGACCAAACAAGTTTTTTTTTTTTTTTTTTTTTTTTTACCGTGGTAAAATATATATATAACAAAGTTTGCCATTTTAACCATTTTAAAACATACAATTCTTGGGCTGGCCCATGGCTCACTCGGGAGAGTGTGGTGCTGATAACAC